TCCTCCTCCTGTTCTTCCTCCTCCTTTGCCCTCCTCTTCTCTCCACTCTCTGTTCTTTCTCCACATCCCTCTGTTCTTCTCCACCTCCCTCTGCTCTTTCTCCACCTCCTGTTCTTTCTCCAACTCCCTCTGTTCTTCACCTCCTTTTTCCTCCTCCACCTCTCTTTTTTCCTCCTCCACCTCCTTCTTTTTTCCTCCTCAGACCTCCTTCTTTTTTTCCTCCTCGACCTCTTTTTTTCCCTCCTCCACCTCCTTTACCTTCTCCACCTCCTCTTTTTTCTCCCTCCTCGACCTCCTTTTTTTCCTCCTCCACTTTTTTTTTCCTCCTCCACCTCCTCTTGCCCTCTCCACCTCCCTTTTTACCTCTCCACCTCCTCTTTTTTTTCCCTCCTGACCTCCTTTTTCCTCCCTCCACCTCCTTTTTTTCCCTCCACCTCCCTCTCTTTTTCCTCTCGACCTCCTCTTTTTCCTCCTCCCACCTCCTCTTTTTTCCTCCTCCACCTCCTCTTTTTCCTCCCTCCACTCTTTTTTCCTCCTCCACTTGTCACAGTTCCATCTACTGTTACTGTAGAATGTTTAATGAATGTGGCTATTTTGTGTATGCGGGGGATGATGATGATAGTGGTGGTGAGGATGGTGTTGGTGAGGATGGTGTTGGTGATGATGGTGTTGAGGATGGTGTTGGTGATGATAGTTATATATTGATGATGGTGTTATGATGATTATGATAACAATGGTGATGATGATGATGGTATTTTTACGACCCATGTCTCATTAGCTCTATGGAAGATATCGTGGTCAATATGGGGCCGTCAGCCGGATCATCACTGCACCATTTCCGTGACCCTGAGCGACCAAAGGTCAGGGGTCACTGGAGGATGAGGAGGAAGAATTCCGCCAGCCAGTGTCGGGATATGCCGTTTTCTCAGAGCAACATTGTATTGTCCCTGTTTATTGTAAATGGTTGGACTACGTGAAGGTTAGGCATCCCAGTTTTTATATCACCTGATGATTTAACACCCTAACGCTACCTGGGGAGGGGGGGTGTTAGGTTTGTTTTAAGTTTGGTTAGGTTAAGTTAGCGTTAAATTTGGTTAGGCTAGGTTAGCTTTAGGTTAGGTTAGGTTAACGTTTGAGTAGGTTAGCATTAGGTTATCGTTAGTGTAGAATAGATTAACGATAGATTTCCATCATCAGGTGAAATAAACTGAGGTGTGTAATCTTCAGGTGACCCCCCCCCCCCCCAAAAAAAATAATTAAAATAAAATAAAATAAAAAATAAATTAATAAAATGCTACTACTAATAATACTATATACTCTTTGGTGATGGATAAATGCTTAATTTTTTCCAATGGTGAAATATGATAAATTAAACCTATTTTTTTTGGGGGGGGGGGGACTTAAAATGTAATAATGATTAAGGTAGAGATGAATTAGTCTTGGCTATTTACAATATTCAGGTTTCTCTTAATGGCTGAAATACTAGACCAGGCTTAATTAATTATTATTGTAATTATGTTATATACCTGGTAACGATATTTATGATCGGCCTTTGGAACGATTAAGTGTAATGAGAATATCGGTGATAATAATAATAATAATAATAATACTAATAATAATAATAATGATGATAATAATAATGACGTTTGTCCCCGGGGCGTTAAATACACACACAACTGTATTTCAGGTAACTAATTACTGTACCTGGGCGCACGTCTGGTTGTGTCAGGTAATTAGGTCACATCCATACCTCATAAGCATCAATTAATATCACTAATTAGGTGATGTTTTACAGATCTTTAATGTGTCAATTGTGTTATTAAAATTCCGCGCGTGGACGAAGTTGTTATTTAGATCAACACTTTCTTAAGTTGAGAGAGAGAGATCTAGTGTCTTAACTCTCTTTCTCTATATCATTCCCTTCTCCCTCCCATACTTTCTCTCCCTTTCACCTCCCCATCTTTCTTTACCCTTTCTACACTCTCATTCTCCTTCTTTCCTCCGTGTCTGCTTTAAGGAAAATAATTTAAAAACATTGGCTGGAAACTTCAAACGTAAGACAAATGTAAAAAGAAGTGACGAAGAAAACGGAATAAGTATAATGACTATGAAATTGTTGAAATAAAATAAATTGTCAAAGGAAAGAGAAACTTGTAAATAATGACAACTAGTTTAGAGAAAATTGTATAATGGAAGTTCACACAGATTGGCTTTATTTTTTTTTCTCTATTTTCTCGGAACATGATGCAGACGGGGAAGATGGTGGTGGTGGTGTTGGTGTTGTTGTCGGCGTTCGTGGATCTATAGATGGATTTCTTATGACGTCACGTTGATCAATGTTTTGGGCTCCACTAGCTTGTCGAATTGGATGCGCGCGCACCTCTCTCTCTCTCTCTCTCTCTCTCTCTCTCTCTCTAGGTTGGAATGAGTTGAATGTCCCTGTTTAAATTTTCTTCATTACCGTTAAGAGATGAACAATATGAATTGAATGTTCGTGTTATATTTTGTCTTTTGTAAATAATAGTGGATAACGTATCAGCACTATAATACTGTAATGACACCTGGCACTATGACAGTTTGGACGACCTGAAGATTAGCCCCCCCCCCCACCTTATTTCACCTTGATATTAAGCATCATAATGCTACCTGGAAGGGGGGGGGGCGCAGGGGGTATGCTAAGTTAGGTTATGTTGGTTAGTTTAAGATGGGTTAGGTAGCGTTAAGTTGGGATAGGATTAGATTAGTTCAATATTTGGTTAGGTAAGCGTTAAGTTGGGGTTAGCGTTAGGACGTGTTTTAATCTGGTGGAATAAGCTTGGGTGTCTAATCTTTGCGTGATCCGACAATTTTATTTCACGAAATTAAAATAAAGAGAATTAATTAGAAACAACAACACGGCACTCGAGTCAGATTTTCAGATTTGTCTCAACCCCCCCCCCATACAGCAGCTCAGGCGCTAGTTTATTGTGCACTCCCATACATCCTGTGCAAGGCGTAGCGCAGAATTACGCGAGTGAGGTGCTAACTTATTCCAGGGGGTGACTTTTGATCCCTAGACATTGAACATAACAGCTTGGGGGATTGAATACACGACCAAAATAGTATCTTTACGGAGGTATCCGATGAATTTCAAAATGAACACTACGGCTCTTGTTGTCTCGGTAGGGTTGTCAAAATCCTTCGTCTGTTTGTCTTATTGTATAACCCAAAACGATATTTGATATTGATTTTGTGTACATGTACTATATCGTAAGTGAACATTACAGTTGTCGGCATATAAATAGATTACCGAGTGTTGGGTTCGGTTGTATTAGTTTATGATGGGTTAGGTTAGGTTAGGTCAGGTTAGGTTATGTTATGTTATATCAGTGTTTCTGAAGCCTCTGACAGGGCGGTGACATCAATCAGACTTTCCTGTCCAAACATTAACGTGATTTCTTTGTACTAGGAATGTCATTGGCCAGTGATGGAGAGGTGTGTGTGTGTGTGTGTGTAATAATAATAATTATTATTAAAGGCTTATTGAAAAAGTTCTACAGCCCGAAGGCTGAAAGTATACATTGGACAAAATTGACTATTACATACGAAGATATGGGGTGGGTGGGTCGTTTAACAAAAGCTTCCATTACTGAAAGGAGAAGGAACATGAATTGATCATACAAATTATTATAGTTTACAGGTCCGGGCTGGTCTCTTGCCATACTGTGTGAGGTCACATATACCTCGTGGTTCAGTAACTCGTCCGTAGGTGTTGATATGAAGAACCTCACGGGGTCATGGAGACACGGTGTGGTGTTGACGTGGTTCAGTAACTCGTCCGTAGGTGTTGATATGAAGGACCTCACGGGGTCATGGAGACACCGAGTGGTGTGGTGTTCACGTGGTGTGTGTGTGTGTGTCGTAGAGTGCACCACTATTATTGCGCGTCTGCTGATCTTCGTATATTGGTGACGTCGTTGCAGGCCCTTGATAAATAATAACAATTGATGGTTTACATTGATAAGGAGATAACAACACTCATGTTATTTTTTGTGTATATTTTATCATCATATAGATAATTACTGTGCACTCAAGGCCTTATCATCAGGACTCCCACCGAGAACTACTTTACCTAATTGTGTGGTGATCGTGTGTGTGGTGATCGTGTGTGTGGTGATCGTGTGTGTGGTGATCGTGTATCTGACATTTTCACTACACGACACAAGGTAGAGGTTGGTGTGGTGAAGTAGATACACAATCGCTCACAAAACTATCCATACAAAATTGTATCGAGAAAATATGACACAACGGTTGAAGGATTTTGACAACCTTACCGAGACAACAGGAGTCAGTGTTCATTCTGAAATTCATTGATCACTCCAAGTACAGATAGTTTTTTAGAGTGACTATACAAGGTGATAATAAATGACCCAAACATACACACGTCACCAATACCATATGAACCACACACTAGGGCATCAGGGCATAGGGCATAAAAGACTATAAGCGCATAGTCTATAACCAGTAGTTTCAGTGATGCCTATGCTCATTGTACCCAACTAGCTGCTGACGTCACCAGGACTCGGTTATGACAGTAAGATTTTCGCTGCTGGCCAAATGGACTCTAAAACTTTCATACGTTTAATATTCTTTTTCTCGTTCTCTCTCTGGTAATGTGAAGACGAAGCTAACTTTCTGACTTTTAATTGGGACACAAAATGGCCACCAGAGTACAGTGTGACTTTACTGATGGCAGAGGCGGTCGTGTTGGAGAAGCTAATTAATTTGTTAGGTAGTTAATCTGTTAGGGTTCTTTTTAGCTAATAAAATTTATTGTTTATCAAGTTAGCTAATTAATTTATTAATTTATTAACTTATTAGCTTAATTGTCAGCTAATTAATGCATTGTTAAATGATGACAGGTTATTAACATGTTAGCTAGTTAGTGTTAACTTATTATCTTAATTAATAGACCTGCTGCTAGTCGAGTGTTAACTAATTAACCTGTTGTTCTCCCTCAGGTGTGTCAAGGAGGAGGGAACAGCGTCACGCAGATGAGGAGAAGGCGAGGAAAATATTGTCCTGAGGAGCTGGAGGACGACCTGTGACCTGTAGGAGGAGAGACATTGTACCTGTTACCTGAACGAGGGAAGGATTCGTTGACCTGAGAGAAATGGATTACACTTAAAGTTCTCTTTTATCTGGGATTAAAGTGAAGGACTCTATGTATGAACTGTGAGAGCGAGAAGGATTTTATCTTGATAAAGGATTCACTTAGACGTGGCCTGCGAGAGGGGAGGATTCTACCTGTTTCTTGGGTGAAGGAAGACTCTCTTACCTGGGGCCTGTAGGAAGAAAGGAATTCCTTTTATTTGCGAACTGTGAGATTGGGAAGGCGTCTCACTGTGACTTCAGCTGAAATATTCTACCCGCGATTTGGGCCAAACTGAATGAAAGTTTCTCCAGTGACTTGTAAGAGGAAAGGATTCCCTTAGTCGTGACCTGGACTTAAGAACATAAGACTTCTCTACCCTTCCTGTAACCTGTACAAGGAGCAAAAGGAAGACATTTTTTACCTCTAACTTGACTTAGAGAAAAATATTCATTAATCCGTGACCTGTTAAGAAGAAACGGTTGACTAGGAGTGCAGAACGTCACTAAACTTTCCTGCCCATCACCGGATAGAGGAAGAGCGACTTGGCCGGACAAACTGGTATCCAGAAGCCTTAAGAATTGCACCACATTGACCAAACATCCGAAATAATAATAAATTAACATTGCTAACCTTAAACGCCCAATGGATTGAACTTATTCTGAACTTAAAGACTCGTGGATGTGATTAAGTGTTTATAATTAGAAAACAAAGAAAACTATACCACCAACAGTAACTTAAAGTAAAATAGTGACTAAGTGTATTTTCTGTTGACGTCCACGTCTTAAAAAAAATAAGAAATTAAGCTATTTTTTTCGTTTTGGAAATGAACCTAATCGTGGAGGAGTTTGTAAAGCCCTCCTTGTGTGGAAGCCGGCGACACAGGAACTAGTTCAGACCTCAGTAAAGGCTTATGAGTATCTAGCTCCTACCACGGGAAAGCATTTGCCGCCCGCCCTGTCTGACCATGTGAGAGGTATGTGATGACTCCTTGTATATTGTGATGATTTGATGAACGTATGTCTATGAATTTTAATATAGATGTGTTTATATGCATTATGATGTATGTTTATGAATGTTTATATAATGACGTATGTTTGTTTAGATAGATATATATTATGATGATTGTGTGAGTTTGTATTCCATATTTTGTACCGGTATGTTTATAAATGTTTCTGTACATTATATTGAACGTTGCTGTATAATGTGTGCACGTAAACACTGTCAGCAATGAGGGTGATGACTTTTACCATTTTAAACGTAATAATAATGATGATAATATAATAATGATAATAATAAGTGTTTCCGTGTAGACTTGTTGCCGTAATTGTGATTTGATTGAGAACTGTTGTGTTAGAATGGTAGGTAAGTTGCGTTGTGTAGCTCTGTCTGCTGTTCTTGACTGACGGAAAGGTTGATTGTCTCATTCCTTCTCTCACCTTACTTCACCCCCCCCCCTCACCTCACCCTAGACTCCTTCCCCCCCTCCTCTCATCCACTTCCCCCCTCCTCTTAACCCTCACCTTCCCCCCCCCTCTATGACGCAGTTGATGACAGGTTCCAGGCTACCGTTGTTATTCTTGTTTTTAATGGTCAAATATTTTAACTTTTTGTGATGTTCTGCAACTCTTTTCCATTGTTGTTAGTTATGGAGAGAGAGAAGAGAAGGGGGAGGAGAGATTCGTACTGTGCATCCAAATCCACTCCTCCCTCAGACACGCACACGCACACATTCTCTTGAACCTGTAAACTCGTATCAAATTTTTGAAAAGCCAACCAAGAGTTCTGTTACGACGACAATTTCTCAATTTCTCTCCTCTTCTCCCTCCCTTCTCTCTCCTCCTTCTCCCCTCCCTTGTCTCTCTCTCTCCCCTCCCTCCTCTCTCTCTGTCTCTCTCTCTCTGTCTCTCTCTCTCTCTCTCTCTCTCTCTCTCTCTCCGTCTCTCTCTCCCTCTCTCTCCCTCCCCTCTCTCTCCTTCCCTCCTCTCTCTCCTTCCCTCTCTCTCTCCTTCCCTCTCTCTCTCCTTCCTCCCTCTCTCTCTCCTTCCCTCCCCTCTCTCCTTCCCTCCCTCTCTCTCCTTCCCTCCCCTCTCTCCTTCTCTCTCCCCTCTCCTCTCTCTCCCTCCTTCCCTCCCGTCTCTCCCTCCTTCCCTCCCCCTCCCCTCCCTCCCTACCCTCCCCTCTCATATATCGAGTTTGGCCAATAATTCACGGACGCGGCTGGGAGTACGTCAATAAAGGGGATCTACATTTATTAATACTTAGTGGAGGGAAGCGCTCTGTTAGGCCGTGTCTTCAGGCTGTAAAATGTTAAATGGATTACCTGGGACAGTAAGACGTACCGTGTTGGGAAAAGTACCACGGACAGGGTGGTAAGCTCCGGCGGTAAACCATTTATGATACAACACCGCATTAACTTGATATGACATAAGGTGATTAGGTCTTATGTAATTTAACCAGAGTTGATCAGACTTTCACCAAACGTAATCGAACTTAATTAATCTTATTTTTAAAACGAGATCAAGTCGTGTAACCTAACCTAACTTAACCGAACCAAAATTAACCAAACGCAACCCAACTTAACTTACCATAATGTAAACTTACCGTACCCTAACCTCTCACGATATACCATATACACTCTTGATAGATTCGTGTCTCCTGAGAAAAACAAAAAACACACACACACACACACACAAAAAAAAACACCAAGAAAATCAAACCGTTTAGAGGCGATGGGTCGGGGTACCGTCTCCAGCGCCGTAGGTTTGTCCCCCGCTCATAAAAATGGAAATGGATTACTGGGTGGATGGCGGGAGGCAAGAGGGAGGAGGATCTCACAGCCTACTAAAAAGGTACAGGAACGCCTCTCCTTCCTGTTCTCTTCTGGGGAAAAAATTATAAAACGTGATTTTATTTATATATATATAGTTCTTTTAGGCTCGTTGGGTACGTTATGTCAGTTGGTTGGGTAGGTTAGGGTTTTGTATATTTTTACTCGTGGCCACATGGAAAGGGCTGTAGGTTAGGTTAGGGTAGGGTAGGATTATATATTTTTTTACGCTCCTCATAGGCACCTGGGAAGGGCTGTAGGGTAGGGTAGGTTAGGTTAGGGTAGGATTTTATATTTTTTTACGCTCCTCATAGGAACATGGGAAGGGCTGTAGGGTAGGTTAGGGTAGGGTTTTATATTTTTTTACGCTCCTCATAGGCACATGGGAAGGGCTGTAGGGTAGGGTAGGGTAGGTTAGGTTAGGGTTTTATTTTTTTTTACGCTCGTAGGCACATGGGAAGGGCTGTAGGGTAGGTTAGGGTAGGGTTTTATATTTTTTTACGCTCCTCATAGGCACATGGGAAGGGCTGTAGGGTAGGGTAGGGTAGGTTAGGTTAGGGTTTTATTTTTTTTTACGCTCGTAGGCACATGGGAAGGGCTGTAGGGTAGGTTAGGTTAGGGTTTTATATTTTTTTACGCTCGTAGGCACATGGGAAGGGCTGTAGGGTAGGGTAAGCTAGGTTAGGGTAGGATTTTATATATTTTTACGCTCGTGGGTACATGGGAAGGGCTGTAGGTTAGTTAGGTTAGGATTTTATAGTTCGTCTCGTGGGCACATTTCGTCAGTTGGTGGAAAGGACTGTAGGATTGGGTAGGATATCACAGTACTGTATTATGGTGTCATCAGTTGGGTATCCTAGAGGCGAGGGACTTTTATGTTTATTTGATGGTGAGAAACTGCATGGTATAGGAGTGATATTGATAGGTTAGGTTAAGGTTAGGTTAGGTTTAGTTTGTGTTAAGTTTAGGTTAAGGTTAGTTAAGTTTGGGTTAGGTTAAGTTTAGGGTTAGGTTAAGTTTAGGGTTAGTTTAAGTTTAGGTTAAGTTAAGTTTAGGTTAAGGTTAGGTTTTGGTTAAGATTAGGTTCGGTTTAGGTTAAGTTTAGGGTTAGTTTAAGGTTAGTTTAAGTTTGGGTTAGGTTAGGTTAAGTTTAGGGTTAGGTTAATTTTAGGGTTAGTTTAAGGTTAGGTTAGGTTAAGTTTAGGGTTAGGTTAGGTGTGGCAAGGAAGTGAAGATGTGGGTGACTTAGGCCCCCACGGAAACAAATCGTCCGCGCCGAAAACTTTAGGAGATGGTCGTAGGGAGGAGGTTAGGTTAGGATAGCGTTAAGGTGGTTGAGTTAGGTTAGGCTTTGATCAGTGTTAGGGAGGTTAGGTTAGTGTTGGGATGGTTTAGTTAGGTTAATGGTAGGTTTTGATTAACGTTGGGGTGGTTGAGTTAGGTTAGCGTTAGGTTGGTTAGGTTAAGTTAGCTTAGGTTTTGTTAGGTTAGGGTGGTTAGATTAGATTACCTCGGGGCTAATCTTCAAGATTGGTCGAGCACTTTGTATATACTTGAAATTATTCTTGGCACCCACCAAGATGGATGGGGCTGGCTGTGAACGTCTCGGTGGTAATGTAAATAAAGAGAGTTGTGTCTTGGAGGGCAGGCTAGGGTCACAGAAGACATGTTGGAGAAAAAAACTGGAAAATCCCTCTTATATATTTTTCTATCTTTATCCTTCTCTCATTTCTTGCTACCTTCATGTCTTCTTTCTCTTAAGTAGTATTTTTTATACATTTCTTTTTCTTTTCATTCTTTTCAATTTCTTTCTCCTTAACACTTTTTTCTCTCCTTTCATTTTTCTCTGTCATTCTTTTTTCTTTCTTCTCCTCCTCTTCTCTCTCTTCCTTCCCTTCTGTTCCTCCTCCTCCCCTTGTTCTGAGTGTTTATATGTGGGTCCCTGGTCTTGTGGGGAGGGTGTCTCCTCATCTGGTGGGGAGACTAGACATCCTGAGACGGACACACACACACACACACACGAAAGCGGAGACACTACCGACCAGATAGAGGTGGAACATAGGAAGATTAGTCACCCCAGATTATTTCACCTGAAGATTATTTCACCCCAGATTATTTCACCTGAAGATTAGTCACCCCAGATTATTTCACCTGAAGATTATTTCACCCCAGATTATTTCACCTGAAGATTAGTCACCCCAGATAATTTCACCTGAAGATTAGTCACCCCAGAATAAGTTGTCTAATCGTCAGGTGAAATAATTTAAGGTGGTATCTAATCCTCAGTTAAATCAGGGAGACGACTAATATCACCTCCTCCTCCTCACGTATACACACACGACCATACCTCCATCCCCTCCACCAACTGTATCGTGGCATCAAACACCCAACGTTACTATTAATGTACACTATCATCTATTATACCACCCAACGAGACCCACCGCGATTCTCTTTCTCTTGTGAATGGTGCAGCAGCAGTAGATCAGAGACATTCATTAAGGCTTAAGAGTAAAAGAAAAAATTGAGAAGAAAAAAAATAAATAAACCCTGATTGTTGACAAGGTCTCTCTCCTCCACACTCTGGGTTAAATAAAAACAGAAGCGTGGTGGCCTTGGAGCAGGGAGGGAGAGGGTGGCAGGCAGGGAGGGAGAGGGTGGCAGGCAGGGAGGGAGAGGGTGGCAGGCAGGGAGGGAGAGGGTGGCAGGCAGGGAGGGAGGGAGGCTGGTGTTGTGTTCATTGTATGGTAATAATTGTTTGTGGTGTTTGTCTGTTTCTCTTGTAGCGAAGTTAATGTGGTGATACTTAACGTAATTCTAACGTAACCTAACTTAGCGTAATCTAATGTAACTCAACCTCCTGTAACGTAACGTAACCTAACTTAAACTTCACTTAACCTAACCTAAAGCTATTACGTTCCTTTTCCTAACTTGACTTAACCTAACCTAACCCAACCTTTTTTATTCAACTGAACCTACCCAACCTAAGTTAACCTGACTGCCTTATCTAACCTAATCTGATCTACCGTTTACGTAACCTAAGTAACTAAACATAACCAGACAGGTAACATACTAACGTGGGTGGATTTAGAGAGACAGGTTAATTTAGGTTAGGTTAAGTAGGTAGGTAGATGGATAGGTAGGTTAAA